TGACGTCCGCCGTCATAGGCATTATTGTTAGGTTTATCAGTAACAATCATTTGTGTCTCTTCCACTCCCTTCTCTAAATTCACGTGCTGTTTTGAAACAACCGGCTCAGGCAATGGAACAGTGGGTGATTCACCCGAAAAAGGTTAAGCAACATCGAACGTGCAAGGGATATTCTCAGATTCCTCAAAAGTGACCTCATCCCCATCTTCACGGTTCCAATTGAAATCGTCATCCTCAGACTCACTAGGAGAGTAATCTGAGTCTGTTTCTGATTTCGAAAAAGAGATCTCTCGTAAGGGACTAGCAAGGTCCTCTAGAATCTTGATAATCAAAGAATGACCATTGAGGATGACTTCAATATCCTCTTTCACAGCTTCTGCATTTTTGATCCTAATTGATAATCTAGCCACATCCATTTTTCTCTGTAGCCTAGTATCTTCATCTGCGCAAAGGAAAGTTCCGATAGGTTGTAACAAGGAATCAAAAAAAGAATCATTCCACACATGACATGGAATCCCGTAGCATTTCAACCAAGCAATCCGTTCATGATCAATGTCGTTTGGGTTCCATGGTCTAAGCTGCCTAAACCATTTGTTCATCCATTGTTCTTCTTCTTGAATTAAGGACTGCACAGCGCCTTCTTTTAAATCTTCGAGTAAACACTTGTTTGCACCTAATGGCGTAATCTTGATAGATAAGAATCCTCTTGTGTAGAAAATGTCTTGGAGGTTGTAAGTAATGCCAGATTTAAAAACAGTTCCAGTAAAAGCTTTTCTGAAACGAGCCATACTTTCTTCAGGTTGATCAAACACCACTTTCTTAATAAGAGGCTGAGAACGAATAGGTTTCGATGACAAAGCTTCCGCATAGGATCTGTGGCTGTTGCTTCTGTTTCCAAAAAAGTCATTTGAGCTCTTCCTCAAAACTCCAGTCTGCCTCAATGCACCAGCACTTCTCTCCTCCTGTCTGTTCCTATTACCCTTCCCATGAAGACCTCCTCCTTGATCAAATCTTTGAAAGCGAGGGAGATTCACAAATATCTTCTTGTTTTGTAAGAAGATATTGTCTAGTTTTGTTGCAAGGAACTCAGCATCTCTAACTCCAAAAAATCTCACGAATCCATACCTCTTTCCTCTAGCATCTCTTTTGCTTGGAATCACGACCTCGTCTATATCTCCGTAATCTTGGAAAACTTCATACAAATGCTTAGCACCCAAATTTTCCGGAAAAGATGTGAAAAAGAAACTGGTCCTTGTTGCTTCAGCTCTCCTTCCCAAGGTTGCATCAAATCTTCTTCTGTTGCTGCGAATGTTATCTCACCTTTTGGTGTTCCGGCGACCTACAGTCTCCCAGCCCTCTTCAGCTTGGTTTCTCACCATCGCGACTAGTTGTCCTGTAAAATTCTATAACTGGTTGCAGAATTTTCACAAACAGTTGGCAAGCAACAAGATACCTTCTCAGTGAGCACAATGTTATTTTTGAGAAAACAATCCGAAAACAGCTTCGACAAGAGACAGTATTTCTTGCAATCAACCTACTTGACCGTTTCCTGAGCGAGGGATACTTCAAAGCTGAAAAAACTCTTCAAATTGTTAGAATAGCGTGTTTCACGTTGGCAATGAGAAATGAAGAAAACCAGCAATGTAACAGTGTTGTTTTCATTATGTTGTTCGGATGATTATCTATTGCTATTCATGATACTTGCTGTTGTTGATGGCCCTTTGTTTTCATTATGTTAGGATAATGGAGAGCGTAGAAACGTTTAATACTTTACGTGAAAGAGAAACATAACCAAAGGTGCTAGAGTTTAGGTTAATCTTCACGGTTTCTATTTTTAAAAAGGTACACCATTGTCCAATAACATTACATTACATTCAGAATTATAAAAAGATAAAATTAAAGTTTTTATTATATTAAGCAAAGGAGTAATAGCTTGTAAGTGCAGCCATGCAATTCAAAATAAATATGCTATACCATAAAATAATAATATACATTTCCAGATACCAACCACAATATAGTTATAATACAAATATTTTGAACAAAATAGAAAGGCTTTTGTGAGGGAAGGAAAAATGAAAAATGAAAAATGAAAGTGATTCACTTTCCAAATGTATCAAGAAGAAGGTATAAGACATGAAGTTGAGTATTATGTTGCTGATTGCAAACAAAAAATATCTTTTACTTTCGTAATTGTATTCGTATGACTATTTTGTAAGCACTAATTGGTGAGACATCTGCATGAAATACATATATGGATTAGTTTTTATGAAGACAAAATATTGTTTAAGGTTAAAACTATGAAATGTGAAAATACATCATTTCAAACATCATAAACTTTTGCAATTCAAACAGATAAAAGAATAAGCAATTGTAAATAAGTCTATTTTTCGTTTAGTATTTAATAATTAGTAAATGAAACATACGAAAGAATGTGCAGATAATTTGAAAAACAAATCCATGATTAATAGTATATATGGACGAACATGTTAGAATAGTTAATAAGGTGTTGAAGTAATACACGCCATTTAAATATTGCTGAAAACCTCCTTGTAAACAATATTTGTTGTTGAAAATTTGGTGTTGTTTTTTTCATCGTGTATCAAGATCTTGATTTCTTTTCTGCTGGTGACTCTAGAAAGTGCAACATAGATTTGTCTATGACTAAAAACATCTCGAGGTACATATAGTCCTACCCAATTCAATAATTGTCCTTGAAATTTATTAATGATCATTACGTATAATATAATAATTAGGATTTGACGTATGTTTAAATTGAATGGCCAAGGGAATTTGGATGAGGGCATATCTATTATAGGAATGTAAATGGCTTTTCCATGTCTTTTCTACCCATAGTTTCCGTTTCAAGAACATGATTCGTCATTTTTGTTACAATTAGTTTTGTTTCATTACACAACCTTTCTGACTTATTGATGTTTCTCAAAAGCATGATGGGTGTTCCTACCTTTAATTTAATGTGATGGTTAAGCAACCCAAAAGTTCTTAATGAGCTGAGGAATCCAGGACTGAGCTGATCTATCAACAGAGTTGCAATTATAGAAATCCTTTATGACCTTATACATAATGTTGGTTAGAATTAGTTAAAAGAAAGATGGATATTTCAGAACTTTAAATTAATTATAGTTTAAGAAACATGTCTGGAATCAAGGTAAGGACATGATCATTAATTAGATCAATATCTTCTATTGTTGATAAGATTGCCCGACTTTTGAGGTGTATGATTGATAATTATCAATGAAATTAGGATAAGTATTATTCACAGTGGAAAATATAGGATCATCAAATTTTTTTTATTAAAATCTCAGGGGTATGCAACATCATCGTTGTTATTAATCTTGCAAGTTTAATCATCCAAAGTTGGGAAAGATATTTTAAACTTAAAACGTGTGGTTCTACCCCCAAGTAATGACAACACTTGTTACGACAGTTAAACATATATCATGTTTGAACCTTAAAGAACTTGCAAGTGTTCTCCACATGTATATTTTACCAGTACCCCCATAATCATGTAGGAAGAAGACACCTTCTTTTTTACTGTTAACAGCGGATTTTTTTTTCATAGATTCCTCTTTGCTTATCTAAGACATATGACCAAAAAGTAGAAACTCATAACTGCCACAGAATTGTATATTAGAAGTTCAAAGTGAGAAATTAAAGCTACATCATTCAGAAAACAAATGATAGTACTGTAAAATACACGTTAATCGATTTCCCAATTATTGAATAACATAGCCTTATGGATATGGAATTGTTTTGAAGTCGTTAAGACTACTTCGATTGGAATAAGTAGTGTTTCAATCTCAATTAAGGTTAAATTTTGTACTTTTGATTGACTCAAAATCAACTCTGTAAACAATAAGAACAATTAACTGTTTCAGTAAGTTTTTCAAATGAGTCATAATTAAAATACAAAACTTTAATAAATCTAGTGTAAATGAAAGAGGAATCAACATGCTGCAAGATGCATTAAAAGAGTTGTAAAATTGAATGGAAGATATTATAACGTTTTTGTTATGATATATGGTTCAAACTTGAATTGTGGGCCAATTATCTAATGGGATACCATTTTTGTGAAAAATGTGTATTTTAGATCTTCTTCTGTAAAGTGAATTAACATCAACATCAACAATTGTATCTTCAATGAATATTTTTCGGAAAGTATTTTGAGAATTTTCTGTTTTTCATACATGGTGATGACAACCTTGATAGACCGCAAGGACAATGGATCATATGTGCATTGACTAAGTTGTATAATGTTGGATGAAGTTAGGGCATGTAATCTCAACACAAATTATCTTGTCTATGTTAGAAGGTGTTGGATATTTACTTTAAGGATGTAAAAAGATCAAAATGTTAGCATGTGACAGACCTCTTTTTTGAATTTCAATAATATACATAATTAAAACATTAATGAAGAGAAATAGAAATATTAAAATTAGCTTCAGTTTGAAATTGAAAGTTGTAATGTAGGAAGAATACTTATAAGCCAAAACATGTCCTAGAAGATGTCATTTTTTATATCATTCATGAGTTCATCACATTTGATTTTGAAGACTTTAGAAATAATATCATTACGATCACGTGGCTTTAAATTTTTGTTGGAAAACAACGGGGTAATATCAAGTCAAGTAGGGTTGTAGGTAAATGTTAAAAATAAATCAAGAAATCGTAACTTACTTGAAATAACTATACCATCAAAATAAAGATGATCCGTGTATCTCTTGCTTCCAACAAAAGTAAATAAAAACACAACATGCTTTCCTTTTTGATACTTTGGTTGTATAGATTACTACTACATTGTTTCTATTATTTTTTTTATATTTTCCAACTCTTAATTTATATTGGTTCTTCCTCAACCAACTTAAGACATTCTGACTCCATTGTTGTATACACATCAACCAAGAATTGTTGGAAAAGTCGTCTAGAATAGAGTAATTTTTTATCTTCATTTGTACGTTCTTGTAATCGGAAGGAAAACCAATCTATAATGGTTTGATGATTTTTCTTGATAACCAAATATCATGTTGATACTTGTGTAGTATATTTGGCCCGTAACCATCTTTGCCATATACAAATATCAAAGGGTATTGAAACTCAAGGTAACTTGCATGAAACTCATATATTCTTTGTAATTGACCATCATGTTCTTGGATAATGATGTCTCTTTCATTAACATAATTAATATCACCAACGATGAGAGCATAAACTTTAGAAACAGTAGGCATGCTATAGACACGACTGTCCTCGGGTCTATGAGAAATAAGTTTCAACCTCAAGTCCCGATATGCATTGTCTTTCAACATATCCCTTGCCATTCTAAAATTTTTTGAATGAACATTATTCTCAACTAACACTCACTACTACAAATAATATATTTTATAACAAAGATTTCACCTCACCCATCCAAAAGCCTTGGTAAAATGTTAGGAAATTAATCAGACCCAATAGAACTAAAAAAAACTTTTGTTTTACTTAAGGATTTTATTATTCATTAGTGGTGTATTTAGTAAATTCCAAGTTGTTATTTTCAGTGGGTCAGTGAACCAGACCCATTTACTTTTATGTAACTCTAACTATAAATATCTTGTATGAGATATTTGTGAGGACATGAATGAAGTTGTTATTTGCTTTATCTTTTAATGCAATTCTGGTCTTAGTAGTCTAGTAGGTTCTATCATTAGTGCTTTCATTCCTTGTTCTCATGGCCCCCACAAAATCCCAAAACCCTAAAGATATTATTGAAGAAGTTGTTCAAACAGCTCACATTCATTTAGATAATGCTATGGCTCAAACCCAACAACAAATGAATGAACGATTTGATTGAGCTACCGCTGAGTTGGAATAACATATCGGTCAGATTCACACTCGGTTAGAAAACGAAAAATAAATTGCAGATTCTAGATTGGAAACCCTCATGTCCTCTATTAACCAGCTAGTCATTCAGAAAGATCCCCATCCCATTACTACTAACTCCCCAGCTAGCTCATCTGGTATTACACAAAACCCCTCACAAATAACCATTACTCAAAACACTCCTTTTCACACCATCACCCCTACAAATACGCCCCTTCAAACTTCTTCTGTATTTTCTAACCTACAGCAGCCTTCTATATTCACTCTACCACCCAGAACCGCATCTAACATGCTCCAACCCTCTTTTCCACCATATCTCTCTTCCCCACATACATTCCATTCAAATCAACATTACAATATCCCTTCCTTACCCAAAACCCATACCCCCAAATTCCCCCTTTACCCCAGTACCGCACCCCCAAACTCGAACTTGCCATGTTTGATTGCTCCAATCCCTTAGGATGGCTTTTCCAAGCTGACCAATTTTTTTCATTTTACAACCTTCCACCAAAAAACAGATTAGCCTTAGTTTCGTTTTACATGAAGGGTGATGCTTTAGGTTGGTTCAAGTGGATGCATCATAGCCACTTATTAACAGATTAGGTTTCGTTTACTAGAGCTTTGGAATTACGCTTTGGCCTTTCTACGTATGACAACCATCAAGCTGAGTTATTCAAGTTGAAACAGGACGAAACCGTCGTTGAATATCAAACTAAATTTGAAAAACTTGGTAACCAAGTGGTTGGGTTACCGCCTGAGGCAATCTTAAATTGTTTCATTTCGGGATTATCACTTGATATTCGTAGCGAAATGGCTATTCATCGCCCTACCTCAATTTCACAAGCTATCAGACTTGCCAAACTCATTGAATCTAAGCTCAAAGACTCCAAACCCAAACCCTTCAACCCCCCCCCCCCCCCCCGCCCCTACTATTCGGGACCCACCAACCAATCCCAACCACAAGTCCCTATCCCACCAAACCCCACGCCACTTCTACCCAAGCCACTTCCGTAACGTCTAAGCTGCCCATAAAACGACTATCCCAAACCCAATTACAGGAGAGACGGGCCCTACGCTTATGCTTTAATTGTGACAAAAAATTCATTCCGGGACATAAATGCGCTATCAGCAGATTTCTGATTCTCCTAGAAGATGATGACCCTACTGCGGAGGAGATGGCCACCAGCATAAGTGAAACCGAATCTGAGCCACTAGACCTTGCTGACACCTATTTTATGATCTTTAGAAGTATTTAAAAATAAATTAAATCTAAACAGAACTAAAAATAAAACAAAAGGAAAATAAAATAAATAAATAAATAAATGGGCTGGGGTGCAAAAAGCAACCCAGAAGCGTTGCAAATTCAAAGGCCCAACCAGAGGGGGGTGCCAATAGCAACCCAGCCCATCAGAAAAAACAAAAAGAAAACAAAACGTGTGGGCTCAGTGTGGCACAGTCAACCAAGGCCTATGGTGGAATTCAAATCTGGGCCACTTGATCAAAAGTACGCCAATCCAACAGATCAGATGGAGCCAACTCATTTAATGAAATAAACAAGGTGTAGTGTGGTCAACGTGTGTGCATCGTGAGTCTTAATCTGGGACGTCCAAACAAAAAGTAAACGCATCCAACGCATGAGAGTGAGCCACGTGAGGCTGGTTGGGACTTATCCCTCAGAACGGGAAAGGAAACGATCGAAAAAAACCTGACGCAAAGGTATAAGACAAGGTCATCGCAACCATTGTCTGGATTCGGGAGTCGGCTACGCAAGGGGAAGGTATTAGCACCCCTCACGTCCATCGTACTCGATGGGATTCACGCTTGTTGTGTTTATCTGACAGGTTTGTTACATCTATCTACACTAAAGGTCTGGTCTGAAAAGAAAAGAAAATGACTCGGCAAAGCGTCGTACTTTATGCCTACGTATTCCCGTCTGGAACGAGAAATCAGAGTCAACGTAGTTCACCTAACTACGGGGAAAGGTTGCTCGCCAAGATATCGCATCTTGTGCCTACGTACTTTCACACAGCGCGAAAGATCAGAGCAAACATAGTTCAGGACACGAGAGACACAGGTTTGTCAGTTTTTATCCGAGTAAGGTTAACAGACGGTTCCAGCAGTTTGGTGTATGCAGCTCGCTCGACGGAGACTTAGGCGTTTACCGTTTGCGGTAGAACCGGGAGTTAACAAAAATCTCCTTCTGAAAAAGGCTTCCAGGGATTTAAGGTCCAAGAGGACAAAAAAGAGTTTGATCTTTGTTTTCTGTTTTTTAAAGAAGTATCTTTTATGGATATTTGCAACTGATATCGCACTAGAGACTATGACCTGAGAGTGAATGCGTAGCATGTTGTAACACCCATTTTAATTATTTTTGGTTTCCAGAGTAATTTTATTCGTCAACGTGTTTTGTGTGGAAATTGATGAAGAAATAGGAGCATAGTATTAATATTAGATAATTGATAATGATAATAATTAATAATTAATATTAATGTTGATATTAATATTATGAGGTGTTAATATTATTTTGGAATTAAAAAGGTGAATTATTGGGTTTTTTGGAATAAAAGAATTATGAGTAATATTGTTATTGGGAATAAAAGAAAATAAAAGAGTATTTTTGGGATGAAGGGCATGTTGGGCATTTGAAAAGAGGGAGAGAACAAGAGCACGGTTGAAAAGAAGGAAAACACGGCGAAGGAGGTGGAAGCAACCAAGAGCAAGCTTGAACAAGGAGATCATTAAGACTATCAATTCGTGTGGATTCTTGAAGTTCAACATCATCAAACTGCTTATTGAGGTAAGGGGGGGGGGGGGGGGGGGGAGATTGATCAGTTAAATTTGGTATTGCATGAAAAATTGGTAGAACGGGGGATTCCCTAAACCCCATAGATGAATGATGAAATTATGTTGTTGCATGTTGTTGATTTCTGTTGTAATTGTGATTTTTGTGTTTGAGTTCATTGCATGTGCTATGGAATGGTTGTTTGATGATTTTGGGTTTCCGGTAAATTCAGAGTTAATGCCGGAAGTTGGAGAATTGAGTAGAACTGAGGATTTATTGAGTATGAACTAGGATAATCGGTGTAGTCTTGTAGGATAGTACTGTACTGGTATAGTGTAGGATTTCGTGGGATTTAATCGGACGAAATCGAAGTGTGGGGCTGTTTCTGAACAACATTTTTTCTGCAGAATTCGCGTGCATTCACTGGGCGAATGGGGGCGAGGCTTCGCCAGGCGAACTGGGCAGCGAATGCTGCCTTTTGCTTCTGTTTGGCTTCGCTAGGAGTTTCGCCGGGCGAGTCCCAGCGAGTGTTCGATGCAGGGCTTCGCCAGGCGAATGGCAGCGAACATGACAGCATTTTATGATTTTTCTATTGTGCTGTTCCGTTCTCGCGTGCTTGGACCTTTGTTGGTCGTGAGCGAGTACGTGGTTATTGTGGATCAGCTGAGAGCATGAAGGTGATGTAGAGGGTGTCTGCTTGAATACTCGTTGATACGAATGATTGAACTGAAGTACGCTGTGATGCCTAAAGTGGCTATGTATCCTTTGACTAGGAATGAATAGGTGTGGATGTGTACGTGAGATGTACGCACAGTGTGCGAAATATACGGATCAGTAGGATCGTTATGCATTGAGTATGTTGTAGTGATGTGTTGTGTTAAGTGGGTCCGTAGGACCGATACGCTTTATATGCATTGTGATTATGTGCTGTTGTGTGACGATTGGATCGGTAGAATCGGATGCACTTGTGTGCTTAATATGTATGTGATATATGATTGGGTCGGTAGGATCGGTATGCCTTATGTGCATAGTGTATGATATGTTGTGTGGTGAGTTGATGGGTAGGATCGATGCACTTTGTGTGCTTGTGTATGTATGCATATTATGATGAATGGATCCGTAGGATCGTGTGCACTGTGTGTGCCGTGTGGTTATGCATAACGTCTTGCATGATATGTGGACGTGGTGAATCGTTGCTCGGTGGAGAGTATGTGATTCACTCACGTGCTCCAAATGGGGAGCATGTGGACGTGAGGCCTGTGTGGCTCACGTGCTACAAATGGGGAGCGTGTGGACGTGAGGCCTGTGTGGCTCACGTGTGGACGTGTTGTGTGATACACACACGTGCTCCAAGTGGGGAGCATGGACAGGAATTTGGATCGTTGCTCGGAACGAGTGTATGCGACCACTAATGTCCCAAGTGAGGGACGTTGATATGTGATTATATGAGCTCATGAGGAGCGTGGTAGGGATAGATCGTTGCTCAGAGGGAGTGTATGCAATCTATCCTGAGTTGAGTCGGTACCGCATTTTGTGGAGTCCAGTGCATGTGTTGCATAGTGAGTTGTGTATGTGTTGTGATTGGTGATGATGGGACAGTAGGTCCGGGTGTGAGATATATGAAATAATTAATTTATTGTTTCTGCCTTTTATTTCATGTATGTTTATACCATTAATATT